CCCGATGGTGCCACAGGGTCTCCAAGTCGTCGAGAATCAGGTCCAGATGACGAGGGGGGAACTGACCCTGGGGATCGTCCAGAGGATACTCCAGCCCAGATGGAAACAAATTCTCAGGATCCTGAGATTTCTCCTCATACGTATATCCTGACGGAGGGCTCCCCCTACGACATCCCCGAGTCCGTGACAACTGTCATAATTCCAGAGCACCTGTCACTCCCTCAGAGGGATCCCTTCGGGGAAGAGATTATTCCCGAGGAGGTGAAGGTCCTGGAGCTTCCCCTGGTGGACGTTCCCCCGAAGAAACCCGAGATAATTATTCCCAAGCAGAATCTCCAGTGCATCAACGAAGAGGAGGGCCTGGAGGACGAAGAGGTCGTCGATGAGACGGGGACGTCAGATCCACCAACGAGTTTCCTGGACGTCGAGGAGGAGGGGAACGAGATGAAATCCTTTGGTCAGGATGTTTCTGAGGATTTCCCCAGGGGTGAATGCGTCTCGATGTCATCGACGTCTGCCAAGGAGACGAGCGCCACTGACGGACCCCTCGAGACCCCCAAGGAATTCCCAGACTCTGGAGAAGACGTAACAAGTGTCTCAGTCAGTGGGGAATCGTCGAATGAAGCCAAGGAGACGACTCTCACCGATGGCACGAGCTTCTCCATCGATCCAACGAGACCTTTCGTTCCAGAGTTGAATCTCGATTCACTCCAGGACATCACCGTCTCATCCTTCAAGATGACGGAGGACGAGTACGAACCTGGGGATAATGAGAATACTAATTCATTCTCGGAGACTTTGACCCCCGATGAGAGGGTGAGAAGTGCCGGGGGAGGGGTTGAAAACCTCGAGGACGGGGGGGTAGAGGAGGAGTTTGTCCAGGAGTTTGTGGAGGTGGAGCCCCCTTGTGAAAAAAAAGTGGCAGTCGTTCTTGGAGAGGACGAGGAACACCCGGAGAACCGGACTGATGCGCCTGGAGATGTGAGATGTGATGAGAAGGGCTCGGAGAGCGATCAGGGCACTGAGAACCTCGATGAGGAGACACCTCTTGCTGTCTCCAGGTCTGCCAGTCAGTGCACCACCAGGAGGGTCAGCTCGGGGAATCTAGTCAGGATGAAGGAGGATCTTCGTCTTCAGGAGGACGAGGAGGGCAAGGAAGAGGGAGAGATTGAGGCTGTTGGAGATGATGCTGAGGATGACCGCGAGAGGATGGAGAGCAAGGAGTATCATATTTACGTTCCGGAGATGGATCAGAGTGAGGAGTCCACTACTGAGTCCAGTTTTAATTCTGCTGCTACGAAAATTCAAGCAGGTGAGGAACTCGGGGGTGTAAACCCTTTGGAGAAGATGTAGAATTTATTAATGCGATATTTCGATTTAAATAATTCACTTAATTGATTTAATTAAATGGTGCGGGAATGTTTTTTTGGGGATTAAAAAAATTCAGTCAGTTAAAAATTGGAATATCGAATTAAATAATTATTTAATTGATTTATGTCTAATTAAAATTGATATATCGAATTAAATAATTAATTCCTTAATGAATTCAATTGAAAAATTAGGAAATATTTTGTGTGGCATGAAGAAATGTTTAAACTTCGATTAATTAAATCTCGAATTTAACTGAATAAAATAAATGAATTATTCATGTTGTCCAAGGTGTGAGGGGCTTCCTGACCCGTCGTAGGCTCCAGCGAATGCACCACTTGAATTCTACCCTCAATGGTGTACCATCGATTCAAGACAGCATTGTGGTAAGTCCTTGGATTTATTTATTGTGGATTTTCACGGTACCCTCAATTGTTCTTGAATTACCTGCGTGTCTCATGCAACAATGCATTGAACCCTCGGTAAATATAAAGGGGTGGGCGGTGGGTGGTGGGTAATCTCTGATGGAAATCTGATGGCCTCCATTTCCCCATTATTATTATTATTCTCTAACATTATGAGAAATGCGGAATGATTTTTTGTTATTAATTCACACGTTGAAATCCGTTGAAATTAATAAAAAATATTTTTTTCATATTAATAGAAAATATTTTTCAAAATCATTTTCTTTTAATTTCATAATCAAATTGATGATTCATTATTTATTAATGCATATTATTATTATTAATTAATGCATTATTATTAATTATGATTAATCTAGGGTGCAGACTGGAATTAAATGAAATGATTAGATTTCTCCTGAAAAATAGAGTAAAATATGAAAAAAATTGCGGAAATAATTGATTTATTTTCGTCTAGTTTAAGATTCCTTCGAGTCGATTAATCCGTGGGGTCATTGGGCTTCTCGGAATGGCTCTTAAATTGGATCGTTTGGAAAACAAATCCATTGGAGTTGAACAATCGGGTTAATTTAAATGCAGAATGCTGAGAATGCAGACGAGAATTGTCAGCTGAGATGAGCAGGAGTCTTTTAAACTCGATCGGTCATTTAAACCGATGACAAAAGTAAATGCTCTATTTAAAATTGTCCATCAAAATATTTATCAAGTCATTGGCCTATTTTATGGAATG